TGGGGGAATTTGGGGCAGTTTGGGGGCCCCCCCGAGGTTTGGGCCCCCCCGGGGGGCTCACCAGGAACGAGCAGAGGAAGATGAAGGACACGAAGTAGAAGTAGGCGAACTCGTTGCCGCACTCGTCCTCCTTGATGCCCGAGTTCTCATCGCACGGCTTGCCACTGAGGCACGACAGCATGATCTCGTGCCACGCCTCGCCGGTGGCACTCCTGGGGACAAGGGGACACGCCGGTGACACGGCAAGGGGGGCTGGCACAGCCAGGGTGGCACCAGTGTGGCACTGGGGGCACTGGGACACAGCCCAGGGGTGTGGTGGGGTGGCACTGGGATCACGCCAGGTGACACCGAGGTGGCACTGGGATCACACTGGGGTGGCACTGGAACCACACCAGGTGACACCGGGGTGGCACTGGGGTCACACTGGGGTGGCACTGGAACCACACCAGGTGACACGGGGCTGGCACTGGGATCACACTGGGGTGGCACTGGGATCACACCAGGTGACACCGGGGTGGCACCAGGATCACAGCGGGGTGGCACTGGGATCACACCAGGTGACACTGGGGTGACACCAGGATCACACCAGGTGACACCGGGGTGGCACTGGGATCACACCGGGGTGGTACTGGGATCACATCAGGTGACACTGGGGTGACACCGGGATCACACCAGGTGACACCGGGGTGGCACTGGGACCACACTGGGGTGGCACTGGGATCACACCAGGTGACACCGAGGTGGCACTGGGATCACACCGGGGTGGTACTGGGATCACATCAGGTGACACTGGGGTGACACCGGGATCACGCCAGGTGACACCGGGGTGGCACCCAGGTGGCAGCGGGGCTCACCTGAAGAGCAGCATCAGCGCCTGGAAGAAAGTGCGGAAGTTGTTGTGCTGGGTGATGGCCGACTCGTCATCCTCCTCCTCAATTCCGATGTTCCCAAACACCTGGAGGGGGGGCCCGGGCAGCTCAGGGGGGGCTGGGGGTGCCACCTGCAGCCGGGGGTGTCACCTGCAGCCGGGGGTCTCACCTGCATCCCGATGATGGCGTAGATGAAGAAGAGCATGGCGATGAGCAGGCACACGTAGGGCAGGGCCTGGGGGCACAGCAGGGTCGGTCACGGGGGGCAGCCCTCGGGGGGGAGTGGGGGCACAGTTCTGGGGGGTTTTGGGGGGCACCTTGAAGGACTGGACGAAGGTCCAGAGCAGGATGCGGATGGTGTAGCCCTGGCGCAGGAGCTTGATGAGCCGCGCGGCGCGGAAGAGCCGCAGGAAGCTCAGGTTGATGAAGTTGTTCTGGGGGGGGCGGGGGGGACACGGAGAAAAGGGGATGAGGAGGGGAAAGGGGACCCCAGGAATGGGGTCAGGGGAGGGGAGGGGGACTGGCAGTGCCCACCTACCCCGAACTCCGTCACCAGGATGTCTGTGATGCTGCCCAGGACCGTCACGAAGTCGAAGATGTTCCAGGCATCACGGAAGTAATTCTGGGAGGGGGCAGGGGGAGAAGGGACGTGGGGTCCCGGATCTCAGAGTACCCCTGCACTGACCCCTTAAATCTCAGGGTAACCCTGTGGTGGATTCCTGTATCCAGTGGCAGATCCCATGAGGTCCTTGGGGTCCCCTGAGCTTTTGGGGTCCCCGACATTCCCGGGATTCCCTGACATCTTGGCACGCGCCCCTCTCCCCGTGTCCCCAGGGTGTCCTGGTGGTCTGGGGGTCCCCCCAACCCTGGGGTCCCCATACCAGGACACCGAAGGCCATGATCTTGAGGAGACACTCGAGGGAGAAGAGGGAGGTGAAGACGTTGTTGAACATCTTGAGGACATTCTCGTAGGTGTCAGAGGCATCGTAGAACTGCGGGAACAGCGTGGGAGGGTGGGGACAGGGGGACATGGTGGGGCAGGGGTGGCTCCAGGGGGACAGGGACAGGGACAAGGGGGTTTCCTGGATCCCAGGGGTGCTTCTGATGGGGACAGAGGCGCAGGATAAAGCTGGGCTCCAGGAACGGCTCCGGGGATGGAGGGACAAGGGCAGGGAGGGGACAGAGCAGGACAAACCCCAGGACCACGAGGACCTGGGGGTTCCGGGGGTGGCAAAAACCCCTGGGGGTCCCCCCAGCCCCTCCAGCGCCGTCCCTGCCCACCTTCATCATGAGCACGATGGTGTTGAGGGCGATCATGGCCATGATGGTGTACTCGAAGGGAGGGGACACCACGAACTGCCACATGCGGTACTGGAAGCTCTGGCGGTTCTGGGGCATGTGCCGGGTCAGCGGCTTGGCGCTGATGGCAAAGTCGATGCAGGCTCTCTGCAGAGGAGGGGGGGACACGGGGGTGTCACCCACCCCGGAGGGGACACGGAGATGCCACCCACCCTGGCACGGCCCCCAGAGCACTGCACCTCGTTCTTCTCCAGGCTGTACTCCTCCATCATCTTGTCCCCCTGCTCCTGGAAGGTGATGATGATCAAGGCCACGAAGATGTTGACGAAGAAGAAGGGGAAGACCACGAAGTAGACGACGTAGAAGATGGACATCTCCATGCGGTACCCGGGGCTCGGCCCTTGGTTCTCATATGTAGCATCCACCGAGTGCTTGAGGACCCTGAGGGGCAGGGATTTGGGGCTTGGGGGGGGTCCCACAGCCCCCACCAGACCCCCGCCCCAAATCCCTGCCAGCCTTACTGCGGCCACCCCTCGCCGGTGGAGACGGTGAAGAGGGTGAGCAGCGCCCAGAGCACGTTGTCGTAGTGGAACTCGTACTTCTTCCACTCGCGCTTCTGCGCCTTCACCTCGTTGTCCTTCTCATACACCAGGTACTCGCCCCTGCCCAGGGAGGGGCGGTGGGCGAGGGCCGGGCGGGGCGGGCCGGGCCCCTCCCGGCCGGGCCGTACCTGCAGTCCTTCTCGAACTCCTTGGACTCGTCGGTGCAGTAGAAGAACTTGCCCTTGAAGAGCTGCACGGCCACCACGGCGAAGATGAACATGAAGAGCATGTACACGATGAGGATGTTGAGGACGTTCTTCAGCGAGTTCACCACGCAGTCAAACACGGCCTGGGGGAGGGGGAGGGTCAGCTGCTTGGGGACCCTCCATCGCTGCTTGGGACCCCCCCCCGAATTCTCCTCCCCCCCGGAGCCCACCTTGAGCTTGGGCAGCCTCTTGATGGTCTTCAGAGGCCGGAGCACGCGAAGGACGCGGAGGGACTTGATGGTGTTGATGTCCTTCCCTTTGCTGCTGCCCCCCCCGGGGCCGGGGAGCCCCCCCGGGGGTGTGGGACCCCCCCCACGACCCCCGGCCCCCCCAGCAGGACCCCTCCCC